AACCCAAACTCCAGCACCCTTCTCCACCCTAGAGATGGTTGGGCTGACTCCAAGTCCCAATCCTCGGACCATGCTATGGTGTTCAACCTTGTCCTCATCCTGAAGCTGTCATGGGGACCTCCAAGAGTCACCAAGGAAGCTCGTGAGGAACAAAGACATCTTTATCGCTTGGGAAATTCCAACACATAATACGTGCTCAATAAATATTTGCTAAGCACAAAGATACACTGGAAATACCAGAAATTACCAAGGTTGAGGAAAGCAGTTGGGCCCTTGGATCCTTCCACCTATTATGTGGGTGAAGCCACAGGGCTAGGACAAACCAATGGCATTAAACATTCCGATAAGGGGAGAAGCTCCCCGTGCTCTGGTTTCTGTTACCAAGCACCGTGGTGATCATTTGTCTTCGCATGTGGCTTGTTTATAGAAAGAGAAGATAGCCAGGCCGAAACGAGTACGAGAGTCAATTTCTCCTTGTAAATGAGTCAGTTAGCCTGTTGGCTATGCAGTTCAGTCCCTTTGAACTGTGTGCGTCTTTCACCATCGGTGTGGTTTCTGAGCCTGTAAGCCAGACACTGCCTAAGACCCGGCTCTGGCAAGTTCTTCCAGCTGGTGCCACCCGGGGAGCCTCTGGAGCTTCCATATTTTAGGGTGTGTGCTTCAAGGCATTCACACCATTCCTGCCAGCAGAAGAGTTTCGGGAACACCCCACATTGGATCTGGGTGACCTGAATGTAATCTCAAGAAGGTATGTCTGAGGTGTGGCTGTAACCAAGAAAGCTTAAGCCTAATTCATTTTATTCCACTTGGCTTAAAGAAAGAGCATGTGAGCCTGGCGCTGGTGGCTCACTCCTGTAATCCTAGCTACTTAGAAGGCAAAGATCAGAGGGATGGAGGTTCAGAGCCAGCCTACGCAAAAGGTTCAAGAGCCCCTATCTTGGGAAAAAACCCTTCACAAAAAAGGGCTGGTGCACTGGCTCAAGGTGTAGGCCCTGAGTACTCTAAAGACAAAAACAAAAACGAAAAAGTGTAGGGAAGAATGCCTATGTGGCCATCTATAATCTGGGCCCCGGGAGTATGAAGGGAATAAGTGTTTATCTGATTCTGTTCACTTCATAACCCTACCCACTGGTACTATCCAGTACATAACCAATGTTTTTGTGTGCCTAGTCACTCCAAAAGAACTCAAACATGATGGAGTCCTGCCCCTCTCATACCCCATCGTTTTCCCTCTGACTTCCTAGGGTTTGTTGAGAACATGGTCCCCAGAATCTGCTCAGTCCACCAGCACTGCTATTTTCCAACCATAAGATATTAATTAGTTTAGCAGCTAGGTATGGTGGGGCATGACTGTAATCTCAGCCCTCAGGAGGCTGAGGCAAGAGTTCAAGGCCAACCTGGGCTACACAAGGAGACCCTGTTTCAAGAAAAAAAAAATGAGTGCAGCAAGACTTTGTTGTTTCCTTTAGCAACTGTGCCTCTGTTGGCTCACACGGCTTCAGACAAAGCTCCTGCTTTCATTTAGACTGACGCTGTGGACTGAGGTGAAAGTCACAGAGGTTGTGGGCTCAGTGGGGTGAACTTACTCTCCTTGGTGAGTGCTGCTTCTGTTCCATCCAAAGCAAAGGGCCCTTAGGCTCAGAGCCAACCAAAGGTGCTGCTCAAGGAGTCAGACATGAGCATTGAGTGAGCTTGCTTTTCTTAAGAGTAAAAAAGTCCAGGTGCTAAGCCATCCCCAGAGTCAGAAAGGTGTTTCGCTCATCTTTGTCATCTTTGTCCTCTGGTACCTAGCAGGTAAAAGCTACTCAGCATGCACCTGATGAATCCGGCGGACTGAATACCAATTTCAATGGAGAGAGGAGAGAGAAGAGAGGAGGAGGAGGAAAAGGAGAGGAAGGGAGAAGAGGAAGAAAAGGCTGAGGGCTTTCCCCCCTTCTGGTTCATATACAGTGTGGCAGTTTTACCAAACCTAGGAAGCGGTGACTGGTTTTTCCTAGGAATCGCCTCATACGTTCTGGAATGCACTGTCACCCGGTGGCTCTTCCCTTCCCCAAGCCCAAGCTGTATTAAGCACTAATTTTCTGTTTGTTGTCGGCTTCACCCAGAAAAAAGTTCCCATCACTCATTTTCCCCTAGCTTGTCCCTCACCGCCCCCTCCCCCATATTCTCTTCACTTGTCACTCCATCCCAGCCCGCAACCCTCCCAGGTTGAAGTTGAGGAAGCGAGGATGTCCTTGCCCCCGGGTCCCAGGACAGACCCTGGGGGGGCCATGTGCTCGCCCCCCTTAGGAGCGGGAGCGATCCCCGCGGCAGGCTCGGTTTTGTTGCAATGGTCTGTTCCGCCCGCGATGCCCGTTTCCCCAAAGGCTGCCCCTCATTAGCATGAACGGGGGTGTGGGTGTGGAGAAGGGGTGGGGGGAGAGCGCGCGAGCCAAAGCCCTGGCTCGGTTTGAGAGCCCGGGAACCCTGTCCACAAAAATGACAGCTAGAGCCCTATGGCTCCTCTGTCTGATCGTCGGATCATCCCCCGAGGCCCCAGTGGCGGAGAGAAAAGGTGAGGTCGCTCAAGTGCGAGCCCGGCCGGGGGAGAGCCGCGGGGACCCGGCGGGGACATGCGGAGAGGGAGCGATGGAGCGCGGGACGGGTACGGGTCAGCCCTGAAAGCGGGGAGACTCCGCGTCTGCGTGCGCCTCAGCAAGGAGCAAGATGGGTTCCCAAGGTCTGGTGTCTCCTGGATGCCTTTTCGGAAAGGAGCTAGCTCAGCCACTGAAATGATCCCGGGAGAGTCAGGCAGGCTGGAGGAAACTTTGCATGTTAAGTAGTTGCTCCATCCCAGAGGAGGGAACGTGTCAAAAGGGGTCGCAGCGCGCCTTTCGGGAGCCCAGGAGCGCGGGGACCGCCCGGCCCGCGCCCCGATCCCGCGGGTGGGCAGTGCGCCGAGGAGGGCTGGTGGAAGGTGACCCAGGCCAGAAGGGTCCCGACAGCTCGGGGGGCATCTCCCCCGTCTCCCCGCAGCCCTAGCACACCTGAGCCACGATCTGGTCTTGAGCCCCACGCACGCATTTCCCGCGTGAGGTGAAGTTAACGAGGTATCGAAGAAGTCAGGCACTTCTCTGCAGGATCGTGCTTTTGTTTTGCTGGTGTTTGGATGTTCTGTTCGCTTCCCGATCTGTGAAAAATAGCTTCCGCACCTCACAGGGCGATTTGCTTTGGGTTATTTTTCCACATGGACATTGGATGACTTCAGTGGCTTTTAACTCAAATATCGGACAATCTTTCCCATGACAGCAGATGGTGATATCAATGTGGAAGCAGTTGCGAGGTCAACAGTTGACAGCAATTGGATATCCCCCAGAACTTTATTCAGCTGTGTAGGGTACGCCCGCTTGACAGTGAGTCACAATCAATTGCTTTGCAAAAATATGGACTGTGCCCAGCCATTATCGCTGGGAGAAAGCTGATTTTAAAGGCGATTACCAATCTGGCAAGATAAATCGCTTTAAACGACGTGTTGCCAGAGCTGCAAATAGGCAGACCAAGAAATAAAGACCGGCTCGTAGTTCTTGTGCCTGATTGGAGGGCCCTGGGACCGAGAGGAAAGGGGAGGTGACATTGTGTAACCGGCATGGAAAGCTGCCCAGCTTCCAAGCTGGCTGAAGATTGTTCACTAACCTGTCTGCAGAGCTGGAGAAAAATCATTAATAATTATTTTTAAAAAATGTGTTTTCATGCCACGCTTAGATTTTTTTTTTTCTCCACTAGTGGGGTGGTGGTGGAAGCAATGTGTGCTTTTATACTTAACCACGAGCCTTGGCCTCAGAGTCCAGCTTTAAAAACCCTTTCTAAGCTGCGGTTTACCAGTAAGTGGTGTCCAAGAAGCCAGATAAAAATTCACTCACAAATGTTCAATTCTGCAGAGACCAAGATGACAGTGTAAACACGGATGGGAAAACCAAACAGGTTTCGTTGTCAGGGGCGCTTAAACAATTAGGAGAACCTGTAACACGACACTCTTCCCCCTGGGGCTGGCTTCTTGGTACTTTTCTCGACAAACTGTAAATAGCAAAAAGGCGGAAGTTTATATATACATAGACACATATAGCTCTATGTATTGGAGGAGGGGCAAAAAGGAATTTGCTTTAACCAATGTTATCAGAAATGTTTAGTCCTAGAATAAATACAGGACTGTAATTTGAAAAGCTAGAGATGGGAAAAGGTTCCTGAACAAAATAAAACGCTCCCATTAGGCCTCTGATCCTCCATGCGGGGCGCAAAATTTCCTTAGTTGGCCCCATTCCTAGAGGGTGAGACCCTTACCTCCTCCTTCCTTTGGGGACTGGGAAATGTGTTCCTCCCCCAACCATCGGGGCGCCCCTAGTTTCTTTCCTGCAATCCCAGCTCTCCTGCCCCCCATCTCCCCTCCCCCTTCGCGCGGAGCCCTTTCTTCTTCACCCCCAGGGGCCTTCCCTCCCCTCCAGTCTCGCAGACACGTCCGCTCCTCCCCTCTAACGGCCTCTCCTTTCTTCCCGCAGCCTCCCCACCGCACAGCAGAAAGCCCGACCCCGGCGACGGCGCGAAGACACCCGCGCTCAGGGAGCCGCCGTTCCCCGAGGCCCCGCGCCGGCCGCGCGCAGCGGAAACTACCGCCGCCGCCCCCCGCGCCTGGCCCGACCTCCGGCGCCGGAAGCCCCAGCCGCCCGCTGAGAACCAGGCCGGCTTCCGGGAGGCCGCGCGCGCGCCCGCCGTGCCGCTGGGCCCGCGCCTCGCTCAGGCGGACAACCGCGCGTCGCCGCGCCGCGTGCTCGCGCCGGAGGTCTCCCTACGGCGCGCGCGCGCCCGGTCCGTGCGCTTCCCAGGCGCCCGGCCGTCCGCGCGCGCGCCCCTGGCCCCGCCCACCCCAACCGGCCGCGCGCCGCCGCGCCGAACCTCGGACTCGAGCCCGCGCCGCCGCCGCCTCAGCCGCCGCCGCCGCCGCTGGGGGACGCCGAGCCCTGCGCGCGCGCCTGCAGCGCGGACCTGGACGAGCGCGAGTCGTACTGCGCGAGCGAGTTCGGTGAGCCTGACCTCATTTTCTTCTTAAGAGTGGCAGCGGGCAGGGAGAGATGAACGTAACGCTTTTCTCCAAAATGTGTTTTGAAAGCAGCAGTGAACGGAATCGTGCGAGATGTGGACGTGCTGGGCGCCGGGATCCGGCTGGTGACTCTGCTGGTGGACCGGGACGGGCTGTACAAGATGAACCGTCTGTACATCACTCCAGACGGGTTTTTCTTCCAAGTCCACATACTAGCCCTGGACTCCTCCAGTTGCAATAAGCCATGCTTAGAATTTAAACCTGGTACGACACTGACCTACACGACCCGTTCTTAGATGTATTTTATACTGCCATTTGTCACTTGGATGCCACAACCTGGCTTCCGTTGGTCACCCCAGCACCTTTGTGGGGGAGTAAAGAATAGAATTTAGGCGACAGGTGTCATTTCGGGCCCCGTGATTTGAGCCCACCCATCAAAAGTGAGATCAGCAGGATTTGGCTCTAGGCAGGCGACAAATGGCAAAACGCGTGCCAGAAGGATTGAATAAGGGATTCTGTCAGAAATGAGGAGAGAAAGCCTTATTTTGGGGGGTAGGGTGTAAGTCCGAAGGCCACTTCTTTCTAGAGATTTGCTGATACACAGGTTAGGACTCTGTTCTGTGATGTTGGCGTTTACAGGCTGGTCAGCTGGCTCTTACGGAAAGGTCCCTCGATTGTCTCCACGTGTTGCTGGTAGGTTGCGTTTCAACGTGAGCAAGATAATGGAGTCAGGCTGAGGCTTTCCTTAAAGGTCTTACATCTCCATCATTCCCTGGCATTCGAATGACTTTGGTTACTTTGTTCAGGCAGCAGGTACATTGTGATGGGCCACCTCTACCACAAGCGACGGCAGCTCCCTGCGGCGCTGCTCCAGGTCCTGAGAGGGCGCCTGCGTCCAGGAGACGGACTGCTCGGGAGAAGCAGCAGCTACGTGAAAAGGTTTAACCGCAGAAGGGACCGGCAGGTGCAAGGTGCAGTTCACAGCCAGTGCGTCTGAAGCACATCCTGGTGGCATTTATGGTTTACAAGAGACTTGCAATTCAGCTGCGGCGCAAAAGGTCTAGATGTGATGGGGTCTTCTACAATTGGGCCTACAGCGACTTTACGAACAAGGTGTATAGTTCCAACACTAATCTTGAAGTTGTCACTTTATGTACAATGGTAAGCGGCTGATTTCAGTAGCAAAGTTACTCAAATGTAATGTGCATAGACGCCTTCACACAGCTTAGGTAGCTGGTCTGTCTGTTCAGTTAACAGATCACTGCTTCATGTTAAGTTTTCAAATTATTTTAATACTTTCTTCAGTAAAAATAGTTCACAAAAACATTTTTGAATTTAAATATACAACTTTGAATAGTTTGTATCATTCTTCAAGCCAAATTTATACTTAAACCATCACATTTTCTGTACAAAAAGAGTAGGCACACTAGTCTGCAGACATTTACAGATGAAATGTCGTTTAGATCAAACACTAGGGCCAGAGCCCTGGACAAGTATTAAATGTTTACATTTAGAGTACTAAAGGGCTTAATTCAAGCACAATTATTATTGAAAGCAAGTGTTCCTGATGTACCAAAATGTAATACAGTGTATTTTCATGCCTTTCTGCTCCTAATAACATGTTTTGTGCCAAACTGGCAGCTATTCCAGTGCTAAGTGTAGTCTGATGTATCTGATGTCATTTTTCTATTAAGACCAAGTTATCATGTTTGTGTTTGTAAAGCAGTAAATCTTGCCTTGAAATCAGATCTTGGATGCATCTGTTTTGTTTTGTTTTAGCCTCAGTGAGCCTCAAGTTTTGAGAAAAAGCTTACATTTTAAATGTTTTTCTGTTGGTTTGAAGATCTAGTCACTAGCTAAATACGATAATTTTACACTTGAGTCAACAGACATTACAGTTATTTTTTAAGATCAAGCTCTATTACAGTTAATTTGAAGTACTGTGAATACAGACACAAATAATGCATGAAGATTACAGCTCTGTGAAGATAGAGGAAGTTCACAGAGGGGAGAAAAGCAGACTATTTGGTCTGCAGGTGACATGCTCATGGAGTTCAGTGTGCATTTAGAACATGACGTGGTTCAAGGATGAGTAGGACTGGATGCTGGAGAGTGAACAGGAAAGCAAGGAGCGATACAAAATTGAGAGGTTCTGACTAGTATGTGGTAACACATTACTGGGGACTTGTAGATAATTTTCCAAAAGTGAATCGTCTGAATTTCTTAAAATTATTTTTAGCTGGGTGCCCTGGTGGCTCATGCCTCTAATTCTAGCTACTTGGGAGGCTGAGATCAGGAGGATAGGGTTCAAGGCTAGCCTGGCAGATAGTTCATGAGACTCCCATCTCCAAAATAACCAAAGCAAAATGGGCTGGAGGTGTGGCTCAAGTGGTAAAGTGCCTGCTCTGCAAGCATGAAGCCCTGAGTTCAAACCCAGTCCCACCAAAAAAAACAAAAAAAAAAATGTAGAAACCAGAATTGCTTGGAAACCAAGTGCACTGGAACATGTTATTTTTTTTAAAGTTACTGGCAACAGAGCATACAGTTAGTGAAGAGCGTCTGAATGACGTTTAATGATAAAATTGACTCAGGCATAAAACAATGCCAGTTGCAAAAATCAAAGCTGATTTTTTAAATGTCAAAAGGCTATGTGGCAATTTGAATAACATGGTGGGAAAAACTAGACAATATGACCAAGTTCACATACTTGGTGGGATGGTCTGATGTTAAAGCCTCAAGAGAAGAGTTACAAATGAATCTGGTTTAAAAGAGTGAAAAAATCACTTTTATGGAAAGCTAAGGGCTAAGGTTTGGCTTAGACAATACTATTTATGAAAAGTAAAACAGAGAAAATGCCAGCACCTGGTGTTCGTGGTACGTGGAAGCCACTCAGTAAGTAAACCTCAGGACACACAGGACAGATTTTCAGAGACTGCCTGAATAAAAATGGAGGCCATCATCCAAGGCCAGATCTGCAAGGCAAGAAAAGGGAGGTTCACTGGGGGTAAGAGAAGTGGAGTGGGGGATGAGGAGGCAGTGAAAGGCAAACTGGTAATTCCAGGTTAGGCAGAAAAGGTCAAGAAGAATCTTCTTTTCAATGTTCAGTCAGGATCTAGGATACAATCTTTAATTTTATGGAAAATCTTAATGAGCAAATTCATTCTAGTTTCTAATCCTTTTGTCCTATTGCTAGGTTTTTCTTAGCACATGGGCTTGTGCTCCAAAGACTAAAGGCTCTTTGTGCCTACGTGCACACATAATAGTCCCTCATCAATAAAATACTCAGTTGCCTTCAAGAGTAATTCAATAGCATCTGTCCTTCAAATTAAGCTGTCACTTTAGAATTCAAGGGGAAAAAAGTACTTGTTTTTCCTTTGGTAGGAAAGGGTCTGTAAGACAAACTTTTTGTGTGTGTGGTATTAGCTTTTAAAAACTTTTTTTTTTAAAAGATGTCACTTGGCACTCTTCATATTTCTCCTAAAATCATTTTTAAGATTGACTAAGCACACATATATGCAAACACTTCTAAAAGACCGACTTGTCACTTACAACGTATAATCTCAACTTCAGGACATACTTGCAAATGCAACAAATAGTTTAAAGCAGGACTTTATCAGTTTTAAAATACAGCTTCTTTCTTTTGGAATTTGGTCCGAACTAGATAAAGTGGTGTGATTGGAGAAATGACTTTTTCAGCATCTCATTCTAAACACCTCCAAGTGCCTCAGACTATTTCAAATGATCAGAAACACTTCTCGGCTTGCTCCTTCCCCCCCAAGTACTTACTGGCTATTCCTCTGCCCATGAGAGACCACCAAGCTCTTGAAATTGCAACTGTGGGGGACAGGCCTCATCATGAGAACAGTAAATGCTGGGACAAGGTGTGGCTCTGTCCAACTCAGTCTGAATGTGTGCATAGATTTTTAAAAAGCCATTAGGCTGGCTAATCTCAGAAACCCAAAGCAACTGGGAGTTGGCCTAACAGAAACGGAAAAACTTTTCTCTGCAGACTGCAGAAGGTAGGTTACAAACAACACATCAGTGTCTCAACACTCCAGCACACTTGAGATATAAAAAGGTAATTGTTTCACTTTATAAAATATCTCCAAAAGTTCACAATTAAAAAAAAAATCTATGGCAGGACGTTAAATACATATCCTGCAGAATGTGGGTAGGAGAAAAAAAGCCTTATCATTATGAAAATAATTTTCATGAAATGGTTTAAAGGACTGTGAACTTGGAGATGAAGCATTGCAAACGTTGAAAATACTTTGTCAGAGAAATCTGTTGATGCAAATTAAGTATATTTACAGGCTCAAAGACTAGGTAGAAACATTCTAACAGTATCGCTGATTATCCAAAGCCAAACAGCTTAGTAACTTATTGCACAGAAGCTTGTCAACGAATACTCATAGAAAAGCAGCTTTTGAAATAATGGTTTTCAAAAATCACTTCTGAAAGACGAAAGCTCTACAGTTGATAAAACTATAAAATGTCTTTATGTATTTATATGGTGATAGAAACTGCCAAAGTCTTGATACCATTAAACACACATGAAATTATATCTATCTGCCTGGTCTCAGGACTTCCATAAAATTTTATCTTTTTTGTATAATTTGGCAATGCCAACAACTTCATAAAATGTATCAACCAGCCAACCCACAACCAGTGTTTTGTAGAAACTGCACCAAATCCAATGTCAGAAACATTATTTTATTTTTCTAGGATGAAATGTCCTATTACGTACAAAAAGAACTGCTGTTTAGAATTTGCCACAATTTGTTAAAAACATAGCAATCTATTGCCTACAGGTAGGAAAGTTCTTGCTGCAACAAGTTTTAAATGATTAAGCCCATATATATTTATATATATATATATATGAATAAATAGTACAGAAATACTGTGACGTGATGAGATGCAGAATAAATTTATAATTCATTAAAATGTAGAATTCTTGCATCTGCACAGTGCATACAACATGTAACATTTTTTTAAAAACTAAAAGGACAAAATAACTTGTATTTAACTACGTCCCTCTTAAAATTTTAAGCAAAAACTTTGTTTCCATACTGAGCAATTAGTTTCTTTAGTTTGTAAGCATAGGTTTAAGTGACACCTTTATGTACAAAAGGAATGGGTTTCATTAGATTAAAATTAACCCAGAAGAACCTGTACACCTGAGCCTGTAATAAGAAAGAACTGGGAACTGCAGCAACATCTTTCTGTTAAGAAACTAAGGTCTGGGGAAGGTTTTGCATAGCAGGGCAACACTTAACAGAAGGAAACTTTTAATAAACAAAACTGGTAAATTCCAGGACTTGGTAGGCCAAAGCTAGTATGAATTAGTGCAAAGTCTAGGAAAATTTTTGCAAAGCTGCATAATCCAACGCTGGCTGATCTTAGAGAGGCTATTATTACAACACAGTAATACAATGTGTAAGGTTAGAACAGGGAAAGGAAAAACATGCAAACACACCTTCTACTACTGCTTCCATTCTTCCCATACTGCTTAGCTACTGTTCCTTATGTGGAGCGGACAGACAAACCCAACCAACAAACAAAGAACTACAGCGGACAAGGTCATCTGAAACACCCTCCAGACAACATAAGTAGCTGGCTGCAACTGCTAATTTGCCTAGTCAGACGAAGGCGATGTGTGTGGTGTCTATGTTTATCATGGGCTCCATCAAAGGATGCGACAGGATTAGCACCCTGGAGGTTTCCTCTGATGCGGTGACCATGGACTGGGCACTGTAGAGTAAGGACCGCTACTGTCCTGGACAAGCCCAGGTCTGCCTGGGGCCTTCTGCTCTCCTCTCCTTGGCAGCCCTCCCCGCCAACAAAGCTTACAGATCAGCATCAGCGCACATTCAAAGACACCTCCGTGTGGGAGAAAACTTATCTCCATTTATTTCGATTCATATACATCCATAGTTGAATTTTAATACAAAAAGAAAAAATTAGAATCTGACAAATGTTTACAAACAAGATACCTTCAAATAGATTTTGCTCATTTTAGCCTGGTGCAGAGTAAATGACAAACTGTACTGGTGTAGTCAAGGCATTAGTCTGGAGTCCAGGACCACTCAGCCCAACCTTTCTGCAAGCTTAATTGATATCTACCATGGACAATAAACTCATGTTGATTCCCAGTTGTGTGTGTGTGCACATGTGTACATAGCAGCTCCTTTCATAGAAAGAAAAGACATCTAGAGGTCGTCTTGTACTTTACCTACAGGAATCATGATAAGATACAGGATGGATTACAGGTAACCAGGGCTGGATTTTATAAGAAAAAATAATTAGCTGACAAACGAGGGCAGCGATAAAAAAGCGTCTTTTTTGCAACAATAAATAAATACAGTCAGAGTTTTCTGTGAGACTCTAAACCAGCTTCTTCACTGAAGAGCAGACGTGGCATTTCCATGGAGTTACACGTGACCCCATAGTATCTTTTTTTTTCTTGCTTTTTCTTTTTTCAATAAACAAAATTTTCCCGCTTCTGCCACAATAGTAAAACCATTTGATCTTGACAAGATAATGGTGCCGTTGACTTTGCTTTTCCCTTGTCCGTTGGACAAAATTGGCCAAGAATATAATTGGACTCTTATGACCAATAAAAACGAAGTTTAGGTCAAGTCTTGTCAGGATAACCTGACTAAAAACATCTGGCTCCTAATTTAAAATAGTTCAGACAACCAGATCCTTGCGTGTTTCATGTTAAGTTAACACGGGGAGCTCTAAGAAGCTGTAGACTGCAGCTTGTTGTTATGAGACCTACAGAACACAGAGAAGAGGGAACAATTAAGCACCCTTCATTTTTGAGAACAATGACGCTTTATGTGGACGCCAAGGTCTGTCAGTCTGGGGAAGCAGCCATGTTCTTTCACTCATCCTTGGCAAGCAAATATAAGAGAACAATTAAGGAATTTTTTAACTATACTAGTAAAAACTTTTTACTGTACACTAAACATGATAGCTCACTGGAAAAGCCAATGTTTTAAAATATATATATTTGTCTAATAAAAATTACAGTATCTTTTCCCAGTGGGACACCAGAGACACTTACAGAAGCATTACCATAGCAAAAGGTGGGTGTGTTTATTTACATTGATTTGGGAAACAGCAGGGAAAAATTATGTTAAAAGAAGAGAAGCAGTAATATTAAACTCACATTCTTCTATCAAAAGTAGAAAATCTTCCTTCTAGTTTCACAGTTTTATTCACAACGTTTTTTTAGTAAACAAAATTACTGTGCAGTTACCAGGATTGAGTCCAAGTACGCTGTGTTGCAACAGCAGATACATACAGAAGAAGTCCAAGAGTTTACAACTGTTCTGTCCAACATGGCTGCTAGAATCAAATTTTTGCCACTATACATCTTTTTTAACATTAAAAAATTATATTAACTAATCTCAACTTTTCTGAGAGGTTTTGAGTTAGGTAATCACGCAGTACAATAAAACAGAGACCCCAACATCCAGTTCTGATTCCAGTTAAAAATTCATACTAAAGATATCACAATCTGTAAGAAAAGAAAGAACATGGATGGTATAAATGATGAATTATAACAAAGAACAGAAATGAAAATCACGTGCAAACAATACTGGAGAGAATAAATTAAAAATGGGAAAATACGGTCAGGGAATAGGCCTAGTTCCACCCAGGCCACTGGAACTCCAGAAATAAATCAAGTTTCAATGGCTCCTTAAACTGGGGAATAACAGAAATTCCTTAAAACAGCAACAGTAAATTGCCCTTATGTACTTTTTTTTAGTCAGTACTGGGATCTGAATTCAGGGCCTTGCACTAGCTAGGCAGGTGTTCTACCACTTGAGCCACTCCTCCGGCCCTTTTTGCTTTAGTTATTTTCAGGTAGGGTCTCATTTTTTTTTTTGGTCCAGGTCAGCCTGGACAGCAGTCCTCTTATTTATGCTTCCCAGATAGCTGGGATTATAGATGTACATCACACCTGGCTTGTTGGTTGAGATGGGGTTTCACTAACTTCTTGCCTGGGCCAGCCTCCAACAGAGATTCTCCTAATCTCTGCCTCCCGAGTAGCTAAGATAACAAATATGAATCACAGGCTTGGTCCTTTGTGAAACTCTCATCATTGTAATTTATTTAAGCAGAACTGAGTACACTTCTCAATTCAGCTCCTAATTCTTCAATGAAAATAATGTAACTTTAGTACATAAAAAGCTACATAAAAAGTGACAAGGTGCCCTTGGTGGTGACAGGGATGCAGGTCAGCATGTGGAAAGCTCATCTCCACGACCAGAGAGAGAGAGAGAGAGAGAGAGAGAGAGAGAGAGAGAGAGAAGTTTCAATGGAGGAGTGGAGAGGAGAGAGGAGGAAGAGGGAGAGATAAAGAAAAAAAAAGAGAGAGAACACAAAGTGGCCCTAGAAACTACACTAAATGAATACACCAGGTATGAGCCAAAAAGCATGGTGGTGGTGGGGTGTAATAAGTTGTGCTCCTCTCCCCAGTCTTCACTCAACCTGAAGTCCAGGCCCCTGGGACCAACCACTCCCACCTTTCAGCATTTTGGGCAGTTCCATTTCTTACACTGCTATTTCTCGTTTTATCAACTTTGTTTAACCCTGCTACAGCAAGTGAAAACCAAGCTCACTTAACTATTTTGCCACTTTTTCACTCTCTGTGTCCAAGTTTTTTTCCTAGTACTTGAAACTATACCTTTCTGTGCTTTGTCTACAGGCTGATTCTAAGAGCTGTAGACCAATGCAGGGCTCACAGGGACCTTTTTCTCTGCAGCACCTAAGCTTTTGCTAGGCAGGCATATGTATCCCTAACATCCTTTGGCTTAACCAGTCTTAGGTTTTCCTGCTTCAAACTAATTATCACACATATTAACCCTTCTCCTTCTGCAGACACCTCTCCATTTGGAGTACTCCATCTGCACTCCATTTGGATGGCTTTCTGCACGGGTCTGCTGTTCAAATGTCACCCTTACTTCAGACAATTCTCGTTGCTTTCTGGCACTTCTTGTTTTCTGGACTCCAGGTCTTGCTTTCTTGATGTGCTTATCTTTGTTAAAGCACAATCTTCCAATGATTTGCCCTTTCCTTCCATGACTAAAAATGTATTTAATTCTGTTTCTACACTTGTTTGGCTGCATACAGATGCCTATGATGAGAATCATTTTTCCTCAAACTTTTGGATTTATTCCTCCTTAACCTGTAGCATTCCACATTGTAGTAGAAAAGACTATCAGTCTAATTCTTGTCATTTTATAGGTTGTCTGGTTTTGTTTTCTGAGACGGTCTCACTATGCAGACCAGGCTATCTGGAACTCATGTTCCTCCTGCCTCAGCCTCCCCAGTGCTGGGATGACAGGCATGCACCACTGTGTCCACTAAGTTGTCTGTTCTGTCTTCTGTAAAAAGGAGGGGTGGGTCTTTGTTCCATCTGTCCACCTAGGCTTATCAGGCTTACCAATTATTCTCCTCTCCTCCCTCCTACAAGAACACAAGCTCCACAGAAGAAAGGGCTTTATTCACTGTTAAATTCCCAGTCTGAGCACAAGGCAGGTTCTCAGTAACTATTGCTGAATGAATGAATTTGCTCTTAGATTTCAAGTACTGTGCCTCTCATTAGCTCAGGACATTTTTCTTACATTAGTCTTTTGCTAATTTCCTCTGCCATGTCTGTACTTTCTAGAATCCTTTTCTCTTGTTTTCCGTTATATTTAGGAATCTCCATGTATGAGCGTTCTCTGGGACTTTACTGGTCAGTATGTCGTCACCATCCTGAAAAGCGCTCTACAAGGATCCTGGGTTGCACCTGCCTGGCTTCATGAGTTGATCCTTCTCCACCTGCTTTCTATATTCCAGAGTCTAAATGTTGGGGATCGATGAAATCAGCTAACTGCTGAGGACATTTCAACATGCTCTTTTTACTACTATGAGTTTTATTCCTTTATTATTATAATTTTTCAGAGGATTCTGTCATACTAAGTTCTTTTTTTTGAGACAGAGTCTCACACTATGTAGTCCAGACTAGCCTCACACTTGCAACCTTCCTGTTTCAGTCTCCTGAAACACCCAGCTTGTCCTTTCCGTTTTAAGTTTGACAGCAAATGAGTTAACAGATAGGGTTTGATGTAAATGGGAAAGCTCTGGAGGTTTGGCAGTTTCTTGGTTCTCTGTCTGCTTTTCTTCCTTTCTTGCTTATAATTTTCAACTCCTTCACTTTAATTTTATGTAAAAGGACTCTAAAATATATTTCTTGGGAACCATCTACAGGAGAAGGAAGACAACACACCCCAAAGATTCTCCTCAAAGGGACATAACTAGGTAGAACATTGATTTTTGGGAGGAGGTGGTAGCCGGGATGGAACCCAGGGCCTGGAGCATACTAGACAAGTGCTCACCACTGAGCCACTGAGTCTTACTCTTGGTATGGAATCCCTCAGCAAACCCAACTAAGGCCTACCCAATCCAAATGTTTTGGGATGATGGAGTCTGTGGATTGGTGGGTGGGGTAGAGTGAGGCATGAGTCTCAAGGCTACAGAGTAGCGGCAATTAGCACGGGAAAGCAAAGCAGGCCTCTACGGAAGAAGAAAGCCACGGGCTTAGAGGGGGATTAAAGTTCAAAAGCAAGGGCACGAAGGTCACAGTAAATGAATTTCATGCAAAGTTGCTCAAAGAACAAAAGACTGTGGACTTAAGCTTAGCTCTATATACAGCATGCATCTGGATACGTATCCAGAAAAATAGAATACTGGATGGTTTCAAAGATATAGCATACCTAAATCAAAGAGAAAGTGCTTAACGCTCTGCTTTTTGGTTCTTGCCTTAGACATGCCACTATATTTATAGCTCTCTGATCCTCCACAGGATGTCAACTCAAGGAGAGCAAGGGCTCTGACTGCTAGCACAGGTGCCTCAAGGCCCTCAACACAGCACCTTATATTTGGTGGGCATTCAATAAATGCTTTTGAATTAAAAAAAAAAAAAGAATTTTAACCACAATCACAGACAGACCCAGCAACTTCTCACTATTGAGCCTGTCTCAGGTAGTATGTTATAATGCTAGAGTCTTGATCTTTAGAAGAAAAACAGTTTTTATTTGAAGGTTCAAATTTGCCCGAAGTTGCACTGGCTGATTCCTTGGACAAGACATAAAGAGTTTGAGGAGGTGAATTAATTCAGAACACTGAACACATGTGCTTACCTGCTAGCCTTGAATCCTTTCAATTTCTGTACAAAGAATGATTCAAGAACTTCTGCACATTGGTAAAAAGGGGAGTCACTTGGATTGTAGTAACGACAGTTATCAAAAATTTTGGTCATATCTGCCACAAATTCGGTCAGCTTTTCATAATATCGTCTTTGTACTCTTTCTTCCATGGTGGCAAGGTCTTTAAAACATAAAACAGACAAAAAGGTTCTCAAAACTTTAAGGCTTTTTCAGTGTGACTATGGAATCCACATTTACTGCTCAAACAGTACTAGAGCCACGGGGCTCTACCACTGGACACTACTGTGCAACACTAGCAGTTCCGAATTTTGTCTTTATTGCGGTTCTGAAACATGAATCCTGGTTCCTAAGAAGATTCTTTTATTTCTAGTTAACTACACAAAATAGTTTCTCATTCAACTGCTTTGAGGCAGAGAAACCATGGCAATATGGTCTATGCACATCTATAATAAATTTCCACATGCAAACAATCAAGTGTAGTACATGCAGAGAGAGAAGGTGACAATCCAGACGATGAACAAAATCTTAGCACTAGTGGTTTTGATCCTTGTGTTAGACTTTAGTAGTCATTTGTTTTCTTTACTCATTTTTATTGTTACCTTACTTATATTTGTGGCATTCTAACTTACCATCCATGGTAGTAATGATATAAAGTTATCCACTACAAGTAAATGTAAGGGAAAATATTAGCTAATATGAATAAAGTACTCATATGAAATAGCACAGATAACATGCAGAAACAGATGGGTGTAATATAAAATATACAGATGACCGTCACCCCAATTTCCTGACACACAGCTTCTAAAATCCCTGCCATCTCCAGGGTGATGAGTGTGTTTTGAATGCTAATGAGATGCTTTATGGTTGGGGTTCCCTCCATGGTTTCAGGATGGGGTATCCCTTCAAAAACTAAGGCCTAGCTGGTGCTGATAGCTCCTGCCTGTACTCCTAGCTACTCAGGAGGCAGAGATCAGGAGGATCACAGTTCAAAGCCAGCCCTGGGCAAATAGTTTGAAAGACCCTATCTTGAAAACACTCATCACAAAAAAGGGCTGATGGGGTAGCTCAAGGGGGAGGCCCTGAGTTCAAACCTCATACGGAAAAACAAAACAACAACAGAAACAAAGACCAAGACCTGATTACAGGGTTGGAACTTTTAGCTCCACCTCCAGTCTCTGGGGAGGGGGCTGAAGGAGAAGTTGATTATGAATGGCCAGTGATGTAATAAATCATGTCTATGGGCTGAAGCCTCTATAAAAGCTGGAAGGATGGCTTCTAGGAGCTTCCAGGTAGCTGAATGCGCAAAGGTTCCTGGGGATGGTGTGTTCCTCCTCCAGACTCTGTCCTACCCATCTTTTCATCTGTATCCTTTGCAATATCCTTTGTAACAGATCAGTATCCTTAAGTGTTTCTGTGCTCTGTGAGTCGCTGTGCAGGTAAGGAGGTTAAAGGAGGTGTGAGGGGAGCCCTGACTCACAGTCTGAAATACCATATTCCTGAGGTAATCTCTTTTAGTTGGCCAATGTCAGAATTTTTAATTTCTGCTAATTTGGACAATGGGAGTATTTCTTTGTGCACGTCTTCAGTAACTATGCATTTCTTCTGTGTGAGTTTCGTATTCATGGACTTTGCCCATTTTCTCTCATACTGTTGTCTTTTTTATTTAAGGGCTATTTATATAGTAGGGACAATTGAAAGTTTATAGTGATTTGGGTTTTTTTTGGTATATGGTAGTTAGTGGTGGTAACTATTACATCTTACTCCACATCTCTGTGATGCCTGTATTTGTACACCAAACACAAATAAATAACTTATTATTATTTTTATTATTGTTGCAGTACTAGGGTTGGAACTTGGGGCCTGTTTTTTTTTTTTTTGGTGACACTCGGGCTTGAACTCCAGGCTTTGCAGGTGCTTTAATGCTTGAGCTACATCTTCAGTCCATTTTGCTCTGGTTGTTTTGGAGATAGGGGTCTTGTGAAATATTTGCCCAGGATGGCCTTGAACTGTGATCCTTAAAATCTCAGCCTTACAAGTAGCTAGGATTATAGCTGTGAGCCACTGCACCTGGTAGGGCCTCACTCTTGCTAGACAGGCATGCATCCATTTGAGCTATGCCCCCAGTCCTGTAATAAATACTTTAAGAAAATATTTCCCCTTAAAAAAGTGATAACTCCTGGTAGATTTTAAGAGTGCAGAGAAAAGGCTGCAGACATGTATGTGTGCACTGTTAGTAGAAACTGGTTCAGTTTACTGAAATATAATTTGACATTCTTTTTTTGCTTTAATTAAAAAATTAAAAAAAAAAATCTGAGACAGGGTCTGGCTATGTGTAGCTTAGACTGCCTGGAACTTGCTATGTAGCCTAGGCTGGCTTCAAACTCACAATCCTCCTGCCTCAGACTAACAAGTGTTAGAACCACAGCTGCGTGCTATGCCTGCCTTCAAGTGGGTTTACTTTTTTAAGCCTATAAAGGCTATGTGCCTTTTGACTCAGAAATTTTAATTTCAGGATGTTTTTCCAACTAAACAAACAAGTACAAGCCGATGCATTAACAGGAATATTGTTTTGTTTTGTCTGTACAAGCAAAAAACACACACAAACAAAAAACCCATTAATGGTTGTAAATAAATTATTTTATCTAATTAAACACAATGTTGTCTAATGTGTGATTCAATTCCCACAATTACAAAACAAAATAAAACGAACTACAGTATAGGTCTTTAACAATGCTGACATGAAAAGGGTGGTTTACAAAGCATGTTGTAAAACACGGTAATTCAAATATACCTATTTCTGTTTATGAAACAAAAGCTACAGCTGAAGCCAGGTGCCGGTGGCTCACACCTGTAACCCTAGGTACTCAGGAGGCAGAGATCAGGATGATCGAGGTTCAAAGCCAGCCCAGGCCAACAGTTCTAGAGACTCTATTTCGAAAAAAACCTTGACAAAAAGGGCTTATGGAGTGGCTCAAGGTGAAGGCCCCAGGGTCAAACCCCAGTACAGCAAAAAAAAAAAAAGAAAAAAAGCTACAGCTGATCTTGTTGATTCCTTCATAGCTTCAGAAAACTATTTTCCGTTTAGTCTGTATCATTCCTGACATTTCCTAAATGAGCCATACCCCAGCCCGCTGTACTCCTTTAACGTTCAACACCAGGTGCAGAGGTACACTACAGAGTATTTCAGTCAAGAACAGGTTTAAGGCACTGTGAGCACATCCAGTAAGCACGTCACCAAGTGATGGCACACATCTATGCTAGTCACACAATGGCAAAACTGCCAGTGGGGCAATTTTCAAAACGTATTGCAATCATCAAGCAATGCATGATTGTGCTTGATTTTGGAGTTTTTTTTTTTCCTTCAGTACTGGGGTTGGGACTCAGGGCCTCATGCTTGCTAAGCAGGCGCTCTATCACTTGAGCCACTCCACCAGTCTTGTTTTGTGTTGGATGTTTTTGAGATAGGGTCTCACAAACTATTTTCCCTCTTGATCGCTGCCTCCTGAGTAGCTAGGATTACAGGCTTGAGCCACCAATGCCTGGCTTGGAGATTTAAGTTGCCATCAAACATACACCTTTTACATTTAACACTTTGTCGGAACCTGGACACATGGCTCAAATGGTAGTGTGCTGGAGCGTGAGGCCTTGATCCAAACCCCAGTACCAACAAATGCAAAACAAAACAAAATAAACAAATCGAAACGCCCAAAGAAACAAAACAAAACCAAAATACTTTGCTGGCTTTTGGAACACAATTCTTTCATTGGCTGGAGGTAATACGTTGAGAGCTCTGGAAGCTTTTACCTGTGTTTTAATTTTTATAATTTCTTTCAGATGTATTATTTTAAAAATACCAATACTTATAGTAGTTCATCTTAATATGATCAGTTACAGCTGTTATTTACTATGGGTCCAATGAATTTGCTTTCCTTCAGGAAAAGATGAGGAAGAAGAGACAGGGAAGGATGAGAGTTGTTCACTGATGTCATTCATTCTTTTATATAGCTACATACTACTTCACCCATCTATCTGCTGACTTAGCTACTCCTCTATCAATGGCTATCTATTTCATTTCCACTGTCTTTGCAATTATAAACACTGTTGCCATGGTTATGTACTTGTGCCCATGTAAATCCTCAGGAATGAAATGGCTGAGTTCAAGGGCATAGACATTTAAACTCTAACAGGTACCCCCAATTTACCCCCCTAAAATCACTGTATCAATTTAGAATCCTACCACCCTTGTTCAAGATGTACCAATGTTAGCAGCATGCCAGTGGCTCACGCCTGTAATCCTAGCTGTTTGGGAGGCTGAGATTGGAAGGATCACAGTTCAAGACCACCCTGGGGGCAAATAATCCATGAGATACCATTTCCAAAATAACCTCAGCAAAATGGACTGGAGACATGGCTCAAGTGGCAGTGCACCTGCTTTGCAACTGCAAAGCCCTGAGTTCAAACCCCAGTGTCCCCCTCATGGCCCCCTAAAAAACAAATGTATCAATTTTATGAATTCAGAGTGTCTCCAGAGGCTTTTGGATAAACTCCACAGTGAACTCACGTACTTACCCATGGGCTCCTTAATAACACCGTAATAATCTGGAGCATCATTGGGATCTACTGGCTCAAGGAAAGGCCAAGCCATCTTATGCGCCTAGAAGAAAAGGTGAGCTCGTTACTGTCAGGCAGAAACCCTAATTCTATATTGGTTTCTCAGCTGAGTTACCTCACCAATGAACCCTTATGCTCCAAAGGTCAATTTTAAATATGAGATGAACTTTTTTGTACCAGATGATTTCTGTTCTAGTCAAAGGACTTCAGATGAAGGCTGGTCTGAGCCCTGCTGTGGGGGGTGGAGTACTAGCTTAGGATTCACGGAATCTACTCGGATCCTCTACGAAGCCCTGCCAGCTGAGTCCTGTTGGCACTGCATCACTTCTGAGGAGCTGGGGGTGGACAGGTTCCAAGTGTGGAGCAGTTACCACTGCTGGGTAATGAGGTGACAGAGATGTAATGTTAAACAATGTTCAAACACTTACTGAGACACTGATTCTCTTTCCAGTTCTTCCAGGTCTTCAGATTCTGATACAGCAGGAGAAAAGTTTCAACCTAGTGCTCTATGTCTTAAATAGCTTGCTAACATTCCCTAATTGTACAAACCACACCAAGCCTTTTTGCTGAGAGTAATTAGGCTTCCATCAAACTGTTTTCCAATCTATGATCATGATATAAACTTTCTTTAAAAGTAAAATTTAAGTTTAAAAAAGGTGAGTGACTTATTAAATAAGATTGTTAATCTACAACGCTTGAGGTGGCGTGTGGCTATGGTAAGCCTCCCGTCACTGGCACGTGAGGACTGCAGTTTGTCAAGCCTTCACTCCAAGAGCTGGGAGTCAGCAAAGAGCCACCTACTCAAAGATGGCAAGTGCAAACCGGAGAAATGTTTCCAAAGCGATGCAGGTAGTTTCATTTGCAAACACTGTGCTCAGAGAGGCTTCTCACCTGTAAGGAACGCAGCACCCTTTTCAAGCCCTCATAGTCCTTCTCAGTCAGTGGTGTGAGCACCGTCATGGCATCCTCTGTGGACTGGCACTGTGGACAGACGTACTCATCAATGAGCTCTGCCTCACTCTGCAAGATGCCCACGCAGCGCCCGTGGTACCAGTTCTGACACCGATCACAGCCAATATAAAATCTGGAAGATCCGAAATGGAAATGAGTCCAAAAAGGATGAGGTAACATTGATTATCATTTACTTTTAAAAATAATGAGACATGCAACTGAAATACTGCTAAAGTCTGGGATATGAAATAGTTTCAGTATTACGATTGTTTTAATATTCTTGAGGTTGACATTCCAATGTGTTCATTTAGTATTTTTGAAGTTAAGAACAAGAAGTAAAAGTTTTAAGAACACTGTAATACTGGAGAACCAGTTTGAAGAAAAATGTAAGACATTTAATTGATTTTAAAGCTCAAAACAAAGCCAAAAGTATTTCAACTAGACCGTATCAAATGGGAGTTCAAAATCCTACAAGCTAATAACAGAGTCTCAGAGCTTATACCCAAATTAGTGTTTTTCTAACCTACAATACAGCACCATTTCAAACACTGATAAAGTCCAAATAGGTCAGGCTATTTTAACCTCATTCATTTCCACATTACACATTGAAGAATCAAGTCTACCATTAAACCACATGTCCCCCAATGTGTCTCAAGCATTCAGTATGAAGCAACATAAATTTTGAAGGGGAGGTAAGAGGGAAAGAGAGAAAAAAAATTGGAAAGGAAATTGTAATGTAAGTGTATAATATATGCAGAAAGAAATCTTGCTTTTATTTTAAAATAAGTAAGTAACCCGTCAGAGCAATGTGGCTTCCTGAATTATTAAATATGATGCTCTTATCAGAACTCACTGTGACTCATCATAAGGTGTTCTGCAGATACAGTACAATTCCTCACTGCTGCCCTCTTGTGCCCGTTTACAATCATTACAGATGTACACATCCATTTTCTTAGCCTCCTTTTCTGTGATGCCAACACATTCTCCATGATACCAGTTAGTACAAAGATCACAGCCAATATAGAACCTAAAAGTATTCACAATGAAAATGACAATGTAATTGTCATTTTGAGCTGCAGGATACTTAAATCTGTCTTCTCTACTCTGATTCACTTTCTTACATGGTAATTTCTGCAAAGAGTCAGCTAAACATCCTGAATCCAACCATTCTACCAGTGGCAAACCCAGCATCTAACACTGTATTAAGGGTGGAAACATAAAGTCACTCACATTGATTTCAACAAGTATACTGGTATAGTGAAATATGGGTCTTTAAAAGCATACTGGGATTGAAAAGATAAACAACACACTGATGGTAGTGGCTTCCTCTTAATGAATGTGTATAAAACTTAACAGGCACGAAAACCAAAGCCAAAGAATCAAAGACTTACATCTGTCAAACCTATTCCACAGAAGCCATTTCAATAGGAGGGCTATTTCTTAGATAGGTTTGAAAATGTATCTGACAATTTAAATTTGAAAACAAAGCGAAGCGCAAACACCAAATTACACTACAAGGCACATGCAGGCCAGCCAGGTGTAGAGGACAAATGGTCAAAACATGATATGAAGAAGAAAACTAAGAAAAGTACATGTGGTAATCCAATTTCTACTAAGTTTTCTATGCTGATAAGCATTAAAATTTAATTAAAAGTCACCTCTCATAAAAGAGGATGACATGGGCCGGTTTTGCAGTCAATGCGTGTAATAATGGAAGAGTGCTAAGGAGTTCCGAAGAAGCTGCTTCCACCCAAAATGAAGGGTGCACAGTGGGGAGGACAATGGAGGAACAGCTTTCCAAAACCTCTAAAGATTCTACAGTATTCAGTGAAGGGAGGCTATACTACTGTGTAAAGGAGGCAACCTCAAGGTTTTTGTGATTGAGGAGTCCTAATGACAAAATTAAAAGTATCTCTAGAACAAACAGTGTCTGTAAAAGTGCTAACAGGCACTGTGTGGGAACATGACATCATCATAAGGAGAGTTAGTGCAACTCACAGGCCCCTGGACTGGCCTTGTTGCCACCACTAGCACCCTTCGTTCTACCAAGACGTTTCTGGTAAATTCACGTAGAGGAATGCAAGTTCCTTTAAGCTTCAAGCTGACTTGCCTCATGAATGTGAGGGAGTAATACCCGGCTATGTGGTCTATCCATTACCAGACACTTTTTATTTTGATCTATGACTCTCATGTGATGTGCTCTGCCACAGAAGGGGATCTTTTAAGCTGTTTTTGTATGTTGTCTCTTCATGGTGGCGAGTTATGGGTTCTGGAAGTAAGTTCGGAGCCTGAACTTGAATGTTTTCTTGGTCACTCTTTTTAGACTCCCAAACCAGGCTGGTTTGTAAGAGAGACTGCACTGCTATTAAAATATACCAACTCACTCCAACTAGAACAGGGAGTGAATGAGCCTGGGATGCTGAAATGTTAATAATGACAAACTGAAAAATATGAAATGTCCACAAACTAACAACATGTACATGTGTTCCTCATTTTATGCAACTTAGATACTCAAAAGTATTGTGTGCAAAATGAATTTCTGTGATTTGAACACTTTAAAAAAATTGATGCCGAAGAAGCCTTATTATTTAAAGAAATTCCAAAAGCAAATCTTTTCACAAAGAAAAATAACTCAGGTTTTATTTCAGGAATCACTGTGTGTATTTTGCTTAAAGTGAGGCACACTGGTACTAGACTTCAGGAAAAATCAGCTCATAGAACTCCACTTTTTACCGTATGTATAATTACCAAGGAGATGAAACAATGGCATTTGCAAACTGATTATAATTTAGACAGCACCACCAGAGCAGTTCAATGTTGCCACTCACACAACATTAAAGAGATCACAATTTTATTTTATGCATTGACTAGGCACTCGTTTATGTAGCTACATTAAGCATTCCTAATTCCAATGATATTTACTTTTTTGAGACAGGGCCTTGATATATAGCTCAGTTTGTCCTCAAAATTCATGATCCCTCTGTATCTGCCTCCCCAGTACTGGGCATACAGGTGTGTGCTACTGTGTCTGGCTCTAAATATTTTTAAAAGCACATCAAATAAATTTTTGATACTGTAAAAAAATTATTATGGTTAGTTGTGGCTTTGAAAAAGTTGGGATATAAGTAGATGTGGTGGCACACACCTACAATTCCAGTATTTGGGAGGCTAAGGCAGAAGGATCACAAGTTCAAGGTGAGCCTGGGCTACCGTAGTGAGATCCTGTCTCAAAAAAAAAAAAAAAGAAAAAAGCTGGCCTACATTTAATGTTCAGAATAGAGCTGGTTGAATGATGGTAATGACCAAAAACTAAGAGCTACATTTATGGAGTACTGTCTCTAAAATCTTGTTTCTATCACCAAGTACAAGTCACAACTGTCAAAAACAGCTTCCAGCTGCCTGCTTATTTGAGTCTCATACTTGAGGAAGGGTAAAAGGAACACTTTTTGTATTTTTCTGGCTTTTATCCCCAAAAAAGAAAGTGGAAACTTTGACAAAAAAAGTTGCAGTATTCCAGCCCCCAAAAGAAAATTGTTTAAAATAAAATAAACAAACAGAACCACTCAAATTTGATTATATGCAGATGGATTCTAGGTTTTGGAGATCCCAGAAAGGAGGCTGTCTGTTCACCACATGGACAGTAAGATACCTCCTTCTTCAGCCAGTGGTGCTGCTGGATTTGAAGTTCACCCACAGAGAACAGGATGGAGCAAGGAAGCAACAGAAAGCCTGTTTTTGACAGAAAAGAATATGACAAAGACGAACAAGACTGTGACCATGTGAAATAGCGTATTTTACTCTGCTAGTATCAAGGTTAAGAATGTCCGATTCGAGACGAGAGATGAAGCTTCATCACCCTTATGTCCGTTTATTTTCATTGACACTGTTATCAATGCACTCTCTTTCTTCACAACTGTCAATTTAACAGCTAAATTTTAAAGGAAATAAGTCAGAGCTCGAGAAGATCTACTCACTTAGATTCATCATAAGGTGTTTTACAGATACAGTAAAGCTTTGTGTCCTTCTTGGTTTCCTTTGAGGTAGTAGATATCATTTTCTTTTTCTTGGACTTTGAATCTTTTTCCTCTTCCCGCTTCCTCTTCTGGGAAGCACCAGGCAGCGGGGGTGTGGGGAGGCCTGCGGGCTGTGGAGTGGGTGCTGCTGGAGGTGAAGGCGGAGGGGCTGGAGGGGCTGGCGGTGCTGGCGTGGTCACTGCCACCGGGGGAGTGGGTGTTGCTACTGCACTGGCCTGCACCACCTGCGCCATTTCTTTCTCCTTCTTCATTTTCAGATCTCTCTTTAGCTCTTCCTGTTGTCAGTTAAAGACAATGCAAGGCGCGTCATTAGAATTGTGCAAATGTATGACCTGACCAGGGCACATTACATTCCCCACCACCCGAGCAGCTCCACAGTTCAGCCTGATGTGAGAGAGTTTTAGTAATTCCAAACAAGAGTTTTCCTACTCTCCTCAAGCTCAATTAAGATGGTAAGAAATAGGAAATGACTGTACAATAACTAGAATGCTGCTGGGTATCTCCAAAGAAGACTTGACAGGAAGATGAGCAAGGATCTAGAAAGAGCCTGTCCTGTCAGGTGTTGCTCAGGATGGGATTTCAAGTGTCCTCACCTACTTGCTGCTTTCTTTTGGGTTTTCGCAATCTTGTTCTTAAAAGGAGACTGTAAAGAACTGAATGTAAGACTTAATGTGGCCTGACCAGTACAAAACAGAAGGAGATGCAGATGTGCCTTATTAATTACACTCCTATGTGTAGAATTTAAGACTGCAAGGAGAGCTAGACAACAGAACACACTATTTTCTCAATAATACAGCTTTGTCCATAAATTAAAATACTTTTTCATGTGAAATATTTTTTAGACATACCTCTGCTATCTAGTTCTACAGCTAATTCTTGAATAATGATTAGAGCAAACTGTTATCTCACAGAAAAACCACTGTAACTGGCATCTATGAAGAAATGCACAAATACAGAGCTACAATAATTAAAAATACTTAAAATATCCCAAAACATGTTCTTATGTTTATTTGCCTTCCAAAAGATTATAGGCTTTCAAGACAGTAATGTAGATAACTCCTATTCCCTTTGAAGTTTTCTACAGAGGCCCAAGATGATTTTTTTTGCAAGAAAGAAAGGAAAAAAAGAAAACAAAGAAAGAAACAAACAAAGAAGCAAAGAAAGAAAGAGAAAGGTTGAATGAGGGTATGGCTCTAGTGGTAAAGCATCTGTCTAACAAGCACACGGGCCCTGAGATCAAACCCCAGTATTTGTCAAAAATAAATACATACATAAACAGATAAAAAGAAAACTGTCCCATTGAACTTAGAGCTACATTGAGTTGAAATTCTTCGTTTAAAAACTCCTATAATCCAGCACTATAGTGGCAGAGGCAGGAGGATTGAGAGTTTTTAAGGCAAAGTATGGGATACACTGTGAGACCCTGCCTCAAAGAAAAAAAAAAACAAAAGCTAAACATTTGAAGGCATTCTCATTCATTTAATGGAACAGTTGATAAAAGCAGAAAACAAAACACCAATTCTTGCAGAGCAGCTGGGGACTGAGGATATAGCTCAATGGTGGCACGCTCATGGCCATGGGTTCGATTGATAGCACCACAAAACAACCCAAAGTTCAAAAATCTCCAGCTGGTAGAGAATACAAATTATAGCTGGGTACGGTAGTTTACGCCAGTAACCCCCGTACTCAGGAAGCTGAGGCAGGATTGCGAGTCTCAGTCCAGCCTGGGCTACCTAGTGAGACCCTGCCTGAGTGGTGGAAGCAGCTGGTATGCAGCCCACTACTTCCGCTCTGAACCTCTCACTGCTACTGTAGTGTTTCACTTAAATTCTAGAGACAAAAGCTTCCTAGTAGCAAAATGGTAATAGATGCCAGAAGTAATAATTTAAATGAATTCCTGGACTTAGTTTTATAGGTTCTTTCTTTTCCTTTTTTGGCAGTACTGGGGTTTGAATTTAGGACTTTGTGCTTGCTAGACAGGGGTTCTACCACTTGGGCCATGCCTCCAGCCCTTTTTGCTTTTAGTTATTTTTCAGATAGGGTCTTATGCTAACTGTGCCCAGGCTGGCCTCAGACTGTGATCCTCCTTCCTCTGCCTCTTGGGTAACTGTAATTTCAGGCACATACCATTACTGCTAGGCTTGTTTGATAAGATAGGGTCTTCTTAACTTTTTTTTTTTGGCCTGGGCTGGCCTCAAACCATGATCCTCCTTGAGCTGGGGTTACAGGCATAAGCCCCCATGCCCAGCGAGTTTCACAGTTTCGAAAGCACAGGCATCAGACAGAGGTTTATGAAGGATCTGCCTGCAGCTAAGGTTAACCAACTCTGGAAAACAAAGGAAGAACTTGCCCTGCACCCTTTCACTTCTGCACAGTGCCCATCGCCATGCCACAAGTAACAATGGCATACTAGTAACAATGACATTAGTTCCTCAGGAAGCCGAAACACTGTCACAAAATTCTCCCCCATAAACCTCAATGGTACTGGCTGAGTGATCCTATTTTCTCTGTGTAGTGTCCAGATGATCTTGTAAGAAGATAAGCAGTGTGACTAATAGTCCTTGTCTATATGAAAAGGACAGACGGGACATATTCCATGGAAGACAGGAAACCTTTAGCTTCCTCTTCCTAATTCATTGATGTTAAGCCATCATGACATACATCGTGAGGAACAAACAGGTCAACATGGTGTTGTGGACGAATACTTTGATTCCCTCATAACCTTCAAGAATACATCAAAGCTGGGTATGGTGGGGTGTACTTGTAATCCCAGTACTCAAGAGTTGCACAGGAGTGTCTTGAGCTTGAGGACAGCCTGGGCTACACAGCAAGACTGTGTCTAAAAAAAAAAGAGCACACAAATGAAAACAAAATATAAGAACAAACTGAAAAGACTAGTCATGCCTGAGTAAGATGTAAACATTTCTCTGGAGTAGGGACACAAAACTGCATAAAGGCAGAGAGACGAGGAACTGGGAGCCAAACCACAGCACTAACAGTTCTGCACGGTAAAAGGCACTAAAACTGCTCTGTGCCAGCTGGGTGCCAGCCCAGAAGGCTTTCTGTTGGAAGTTGATGTGATGGGGTTGCACTAGGCTTCAAGAGAGGAGGCAAAAGCTCCTTTCATTCAAAATAAACCTGCAAATTCAAATGTCAAAAAATGAACAACATGGAGTGTGAAAGACAACCAACAAATCAATGACTGAACCTGAATTTACTCCTAATGAAATTTACTTGATAGAACAATTTCACAAAAACTTTATATGAAATAGTCAGAGTTAAATGAAGGTATAAATTCTATTAAAAAATGAACACTAAGTCAGGGTTGGTGGCACAAATCTGTAAATCCAGCACTCAGGAGGCTGGAGCAGATGGACAGTGAGTTAGTTCCAGGCCAGCCAGGACAACATAGTAAGACCCTGTCTTAACATGCACTCCCCCCAAAAAAACCAAAACAAAAAAACCAAGAGGGCTGAGCAAGAGGCTAGCAGTAGAGCACTGGCATGCCCAAGGCCTTGGCTTCGATCACCAGTACTGGGAAAAACCAAAAAAGCCCAAGAAATTTGAGAAATTATTTTCTCAAAACCAGAAGCATAAGGGGAAGGCAAAGGGATAAAAATGCATGCG